CCGTTTCAGGGATGCCTTTTTTTCGATTTTGAATGAGGCTTGCAAGGCTTGTATTTATAGTAATGAGTGAGAATCAGTCACTATTATGAGCTCTTAACCATTGCAATTAAACTTTGGATTTCTCCATAACCACCATTAAAGCAATTTGCCAATTTTGTTCAAATTTGAATTTTATGCTTAAAATGGACCTTACACGAATTTGGTAGGTGCATTATGCTTCATCAAGGTCATTCAAACCACAAGATATCATTGAATTAATTTTTTTTTATTTGAATTTTATGGATTTAAAATGATTTAAATCAATAAAATTAAATAAAAAATAGAAAAATTAATGTTTAATCTTGAAATTAATCATGGGACACGTGGGTGGCATGACAAGGCTGAACCAAGTGGAAAAAAGTGGGCCCTTTTGTCAAAAATTGAAGTTTCAAGGATAGTTGACTTTGGCCATTTCACAAAAATTTCCCAACTTCTCCAATGCATATATTGCTCAATTTTGATCATATGAACATGTTCTTGGACATTTCGGAAAGGTCTTGAAGTCCTCTAACCAATGCCTTTGGTCCCATGTCATTTTGAGTTACCAATCTCAAGTTATGGTCTTTGACTTAAAATGTCTTTTTGTTGACTTTTGAAAATGACCTATAATGTTGAAATTGATAACTTTTTGTGAGAGCATTTCTTGGACTTGGAATGTGAAGATGAGTTGTAGGAAATGTCATCCCCTTCAAAATGAGCATTGGATGGGATTTTTCTGATGAACCATGAAAAAGTTATGCCTTGGTCAAGTTACAGTTGACTTTTCAGCTGTCCAAAAATAGGAACTTTTGCATCTTGATGATTTTTGAGCCATTCTTGTGAAATCATGGTCAAGATTTGACCAAATGATGATTGTGGCTTCAAAATAAGATGTTGACCAAAAATTTTGACTTTTGACTCCCAAATGACCATTTTGCCCCTACAGTTGATTGTGAAGCAATTAGGGTTTTTGACTGTGCAACTTGACCTTGTGAGCCTTGAAACTTGACATGTAGGTGCTTGACAATGTATATGAGCATATGGGACTTGATTGAGCCCTTGAAAACCTCAACTTCCTTGCAAGAACCAAAACCCTTGTTTGACTGGCTTAGGAGGATGGTTTGACTGTGCAACCCTTGAGTAGACTTGAGCAAATTTAGCTGATGCTTGTCAAAACTTTGAAGAATATGGGAGGGCAAATTTTGGGGTACAACAGGCGGTCCAGGCAAAAGTTAGGGATCAAAAGCGTACGACTATGTCCCGTCATCTCGTCACTTGCCTACCAGAAGAAGATGTGTCAATCGGCAGTTGTCAAGCACCTCCCCAGGTACCTTCTCCCACAGAAACAGGGGCAATAATGAGTTGTCCAAGCAATCTAGTTGCTTTGTCCACCAAGGTACCAAGGTAAGTTCGGCTGAAGAATCTGACCAAGACATCTTCACTCCCCAGAGTAAGACAAGATTCAGCAATACTCTCCCAAGCAGAGTTGGTCTCCCATCAGCCCCGAAAAGGCACAATATCTCCAGCAAGTCAGCAACACTCTCCCCAAGCAGAGTTAGCCTACAGTCAGCCTTAAGGAAGTTAGATATTCCCAGAAGATCTCAATATTCTCCAGCAGAGTATACAAATGTTCCTAAGCAAGCATCCCCGGCAGTCTTAATATAAGATTGTTCCCCGGCGGAATACAGACACCCCAGTGGAGCCACTTCCCCAGTACAGTCCAAAAGTTTCCCCATGAGAGTTGAATCATCCTCCCCAGTAGATTCTGGAAGCTTATCCCCAGTAGATTCTGGAAGCTTGTCCCCCGCAGAGTGCAAAAGAATCTCCCCGGCTTTATTCAGAAGGTTATTCCCCACCAGAGCCTATAACTGGGTTATCCTCAGCTAATTACCCCGGAAAGATCGTCCTCGACGAAGTTCTTCCTATCCCCCAGCGGATTTCATCAAATCTTCCAACATAACTTATCAACGGAATCCCCAGCAGAGTTCTCGTTAAAATCTCAGTGAAGTATCTCTTCCCACAGAGTAATTCCCTACAGAGTAATCTCTCCATCAAGTTTATTCCCCAACGGAGTCATCTTCTCCTACCGGTTTATTCTTGCAATCATCATCCCCAGCGGAAACGAAGAACTCTACTCCTCAACATCAGCCCAGGATTCAACAAACTCCCGGCATTCGTCAAGGATTTATTTTCCTAGACGAAAATACATTCATAAACATATCACATTTCATATCTCCTGCTTACATACATGATAAAGTGCATACGACACAATCTCGTTGTTCCTGAAAACATCATGACATCATGCATTTCATACATCATGACATTGCATACAGCTAATGTTTTGCCTTTTCAGGAAAAGGTCAATCAAAAGATGATTACCTTTGCAGTTCCAGATCAACACCGGTAACAAGCCAGGAAAATTTTGTGGACGACTGGTCATGGGTTAATACCTGAAACCAGACAGGACAATTATCTACTTGATCATCATGAAGCAATCCTACACCGGTTCCTTCTCAACTTTAGATGTAGTTTTACATGAACTCATCGTCGGGCAACCCCACACTGGTTCCTTCCCAACTTCAGATGTAGTTTTACACGGACTCATCATCAGGAAACCCTACACCGGTTCCTTCTCAACATCAGATGTAGTTTTACATGGAATCATCATTAGGCAACCCTACACCGGTTCCTTATCAGTTCAGATGAAGTTTTACATGGACTCATCATGAAGAACCCTACACCGGTTCCCTCCCATTTCCAAGATGTAGTTTTACACGGGCTCATCATCAAGGTAACCCTACACAGGTTCCTCCTCCCCCTCCAAGACGAAGTTTTACACGGACTCGTCCTCAGGTAACCTTACCCCGGTTCCTCCAGAAGTCTTACACGGGCTTATCTCATGGTAACCTTACCCCGGTTCCTCCAGAAGTCTTACATGGGCTTATCCTGCAGTAACTGTAGCGGTGAAAATCGGAGATCGAGCTATTAATTAACTCGACTCACAAAAGCAAGAGTCGCCACCGCGTTTTATTATTTCCAAGGGAAAAGAGCGAAATAAAACCCTAAAATATGCAATGTAGAATAATACTTAAAAGTAATAAAAATACAATGCGTTTTTGAAAGAGATCGTGAGTTCGGGGGTTGGTTATACAATGGGAAGGTATTAGCACCCAATGTATCTGCGGTACTCCGCAGGAACCTTTTTGAAATATCTGTTTTTTAAAATTGTTCGTTTGATTAAAATGGTTCGTTTGGCTAAAAGATGGGTATGGACGATATTTTTGAAGATACGATGACCTAGTGTCGAAGTTTTGACTTAAAAGGTGTGAGTTTAAAAATAGAGTCTTTTGGGAGAATTATCTTAAGTTTGGAAAAATAGTAAATAAGCAAAAAAATGGATGAGGGTATTCGCACAATCGTATGAAATATGTTCGATGACATGAAGTCAACAAAATCTAAATCTTTTCCTTGGAGTTAATCATAAGCAGGTAAATCTAATATTCGAGTAAGAAATCATAAATAATTAAAAATCCACGAGAAATGAACAATGTAGATAACAAGATAATTGTAAGAAACTAAATGAATGGACAAAGAAGAATCATGAATAAAAGAAAAGTGTAATTAAAAAATTATCTAAACTAATTTGAAATTCTAAGGTTACTAAGTAAACTAAACTAAAATTCTAAAATGTCTAACTAAATTGAATAAAATTTTAAAGTTAATAACTAAAACTAAATTAAAATTATAAAATTGCTAACTTAAAATTCTAAAGTTAATAAATTAAATCTAAAATAAATTAGAATTCTAAAATTACTAAGTTAGATCTAAACTAGATTAAAAATTTTAAAATTAATAAATTAAATCTAAACTAAATAAAAATTCCAAGGTTGCTAACCTAAAACAAAGAAAGTTCCAAAGTTACTAAACTAAATCTAAATCAAATAAAATTCTAAAAGTTTACTAAGTCAAATCTAAATGAAATAAAATCTAATCCTAAAGTTTACTAAGTCAAATCTAAATGAAATAAAATCTAATTCTAAAGTTTACTAAGTCAAATGTAAATGAAATAAAATTTAATTCTAAAGTTTACTAAGTCAAATCTAAATGAAATAAGATCCTAAAGTTACTAAAATAAAACTAAACAAAAAATTCTAAAGTTTACTAAGTCAAAACTAAAATAAATAAAATTCTAAAGTTACTAAATTATATCTAAATCGAATAAAAATTCTAGAGTTATTAAATTAAATCTAAATCAAATGAAAATTTTCAAGTTACTAATCTAAAACAAATAAAAATTCCAAAGTTACTAAACTAAATCTAAATCAAATAAAATTCTAAAACTATTAAAGCTCTAAAATTACTACATTACATCTAAACTAATTTAAATATAAACTAAATTCATTATAAAATTACTAATTTAATCTAAACTATATTAATAATAAAATTACTAACTTAAATCAAAACTAAATTAATTTTAAGATTACTATTCTAGCTTTATACTAAATTACTTATGAAAGAGGTGTGAAACAGAAACTGAGGGGTGGGCGATGTTGGGTATTAACAGTTTTAAATGGGCTTAGAAAAATTGATTGAGTTGAAGCCCATAAATGCTTATAAAAAATAAATAAATTAAAACAAAACAGTGTTGCTTCACACAAGTATCAAACTCAAGTCCTCATGTGTTTCACTTACAAACTCCAGCCACTACACCAAACTGTTCATTCATTATATTCTCTTAATTAAAACTATAAAACACAAAGCTTGTGGAATGGGTTGGGCTAGGCCCAAACCCGAATCCAGGTTACCAAGAGGGATTGGGGAATTTTTGGAACCCTAGCTTGGAGAAAAAAGGAGGCGCCGGAGTTTCATGATTTTGGGAAGGGGAGGGAAGTTATTTTTTTGTTATTCCAATAAAACAATTGACACCAAAAATATATTATCCCCATCTTTCTCGATTTTCTCTCCACCAAAATCGTATCCCCTCAGTTCCTCCATCTTTTCCTCAACCGAAACCATACTTCCTCTGCTCTTCCTCTCGCTTTGAACCAACAACAAAACAAACCCTTCATTTTTTCTTTCTCTGTTCTATCCACTTTCGAAAAAAATCGTAATATGTTCCATCATACACAAACACCCAACATATTTCTCAAATTCAGAAACAATATAAAAAGATAAACACAGATCTATACCTTTGAGTTTCGACGATGGCAGTGAATTGTAGTGTGTGACGACAATAATGGCAACTACAAGCTCCGTTGGCGCCACTAAGATGTGTTCAGGACGAATGAGCACGTATGGCAAAAGAGTAGTTCGCTGGGGGTTTGTAAGCAATAACGGCGTTATGCGATTGTAAGCTTCGAGAATCAACCCCAAGTAATCCTTCAATCTCTCAGCTTCTGCTTCTCGATTCACTTCTTCATCTTCTATTCTGCGAATCTGGATTAAAACTTTGTGATTTTAGTGTAAGAGTAGAAAATGGAGGCTGTCACTGTGGTTTTGTTATTGCTGTAAGAGTTTTATAGGCTTGGTTGAGAGGTTTGAAACAAGGTAATAATGGTTCAAAATGTGATAATGGTTGTTACAATGTTTTCTTTTTGGAAACAATTTTGATGGTTTTATGAATGCTTTTTGCAGAATTTCTGAAAAGGTTGGGAGGGATTTTTCAACAGGGGAGGAGCTGCTGTGATAGTGAGGGTTGCTGGTGTTTAGAAGAGAGGAAATAAAGGTGGAATAAAGGAGAGGTTGGTGATGTGGTCACGGTGGCATCGGTTGGTTGAAGCTGGTTTGCTGTAAGAGACAGAAGCGTGAAATTTTTTTGTCGTCACAGACTGAACTGGAAATCGTGCAGTTGCTGAGATGGATTATGAGCTAGGCGGAGCATTCACAGATGAGTGAAGAAGGTGATGCCGGAATTACGGTTCGGAAGTTTTGATATGAGAGGAATAATTGCAGTTGAAGGGTGGTGCAACGGTAGTTTTGAGACGTGAAGATGATGGATGAAGATTTACAGTGAGTTATGTGTTGAACAAAGGGATAAAGAGAAAGTCGCGGGAGTTATGTGGTTATCTGATACTGTATATGGAAGATGAAGAGGAATTGAAGGGTATACGGATGGCAGGTTGGTAATGATGTTGAATGGGAGTTTCACTGGTGTTGTTGTATTCTTTGTTGTTTTTTTTTTACTACTATTGCAGGAATTAGGTGATAACCCCCCTCCACTCTTCACCATTTGCTTCTGTTTTTATTGTGAGTGTATGATAGAATTGGAGGGAAAATTGGAGCCAAATATCAGTTGATTTCTAGTTTATGTCAACTTCCTTATGTTTTCTTGACGCAGGGATTTGTGATTTCATTTTTGGGCAAGCTTTTTGGACAGCAAAGGTAGTAAAAAGGTTGTTTGCAGACTGGTTTTTATGCAGGTTTTTGGAGTGAAGTAGCAGCAAGTTTTGTTGTGTAGCATGTTTGGGTTTTATGGAAAGTTAGGATAGGGACAATAGCATGGTTTTGGACTGATTTTATTGTTTGGACATTTTTTACAAGGAGAGGAATAGCATAATAATAATAATAACAACAAAAAATAAAAATAAAAATATTAAACTAAAAATTTCCAAAACATGAACATTAAAGAGAAATTAAAATTAATTTTAATTTTAATAATAACTCAACTAAAAAGTTGAATTAAAATTAGAACCAAATCAAGATTAATATTGAAAGAAAGAAATGAAAATTATAATAACTAAAAGAATTAAAAGAAAAAGATATTAACTATATATTTTTGTGATTAAAGTGAAATGCTAAAATAAAATAATGCTAAGACATTTTTTTTTGTTGAGATTTTTACTAAATTAAATCTAGAAGACTATAATTTTGACTTAAGAATAAAAATCTAAATGAAACTTGAAGAGACTACTTTTTTTTATATTTTGATTAATAATGTAAATAAAATTAAGATGACATGAACTAAATATTTTTTTAGGATTTTTTCATGGAATTAAAAATAAAAGAAGAGAAAGTGTAAAATTTATGGTCGGATAAAACACAGTCCAAAATTAAGAATCAAATTCCATTAAATTCGTGAAACAACTTCGAACGTTAATAACTTTTTTTGTGGCTTTTCAATGCATAATCATCTCTTGTCTTGTAAAGAAAAATTGTAGATGGTGTCAAGAAAAATCATATGCAAAAAATAACCCCTCAAAATATTGAAATTTGAAGAAGTTATGAATTTTTGAAATCTGACTCGGGAATTGGCAAAAATAGGTCGAATTGCTTGTGAACTCTTGCCATGCAATGATGCGGATGGAATGCGGGATCTTAGGTCAAAAATTAGGGTATGACAGATGCCCCTATTTAAGTTTCTTCTATCCGGAGATATGAAGATTGGAATCTTCATTTCGACGAGATCGAAGGGACTTAAATATAGAATACGTAATTTTTGGCCCTAAGATACCGCAATTGTGTTTATGATCTGATATGAATGTAACATTTTGAATTTAATGAGGAAGGATTCCGTATGAGGCAAACTACTGCTGGAGAAACCAAGCACATTATACAGTAATCCCATTGGGGAAGAGATTATAACTCCACTAGGGAAACAAAGTCATAGACTTCAAATGAAAGACTCTTATTAAAGAATAACTTTGAGGGAAGAAATGAATGATTTACATCAGTATTGAGACTGGAAAAGAGATGATTTACATCAGTACGAAGACTGGAAAAAGAAATGATTTACATCAGCACTGTGACTGGAAAAGGAAATGATTTACATCAGCACTGTGACTGGAAAAGGAAATGATGGACATCAGTACTGAGACTGGAAAATGATTGACATCAGCATTGTGGCTGGAAAATAAAATGATTGACATCAGCACTGTGGCTGGAGATAAACATCTCTGATTTCTGAATTTTACCAAGGACGGTAACACATTTCTTCTCTGACCAAGATATCGCTTGAAAAGGATAAAATAACAAACTTCCCCACGGGACTTTTCTGAAGGGATGCCATTTGCTGAGTAAACATTATTGTTGGGGATACACAAGCTACTCAAATAAAGAGGCCGCCACTTGCTTCCTTTCAAAGGTGTCAATAACATACAAGCTGCTCATGAAGAGACCGCCACTTGCTGTCTTCAAAGAAAATTAAAGCATACAAGCTGCTCATGAAGAGTTCGCCACTTGTTGTCTTCAAAGAATATCAAAGTACACAAGCTGCTCATGAAGAGTCCGCCACTTGTTGCAAATAACCCACAAGCTGCTCATGAAGAAGCTGCCACTTGTTGTCTTCAAGGGAACAATAACACACAAGTTGCTCAAATAGATAAGCTGCCACTTGATGTTTCTTAAAAGTGTTGATAACATACAAGTTGTCCATGAAGAGACTGCTGCTTGCTGTTTCTTAAAAGTGTTGATAACATACAAGTTGTCCATGAAGAGACTGTCGCTTGCTGTTTCTTAAAAGTGTTGATAACATACAAGTTGTCCATGAAGAGACTGCCGCTTGCTGTTTCTTAAAAGTGTTGATAACATACAAGTTGTCCATGAAGAGACTGCCGCTTGCTGTTTCTTTCAAGGTATCAATAACATACAAGTTGCTCATGAAGAGACCGCCGCTTGATGTTTTTCAAGAGAAAAATAACACACAAGTTGCTCATAAAGAGACCGCCGCTTGTTGTTTGTCAAGAGTATCCATAACACACAAGTTGCTCATGAAGAGACCGCCGCTTGCTGTTTGTCAAGAGTATCCATAATACACAAGTTGCCTCATGAAGAGACTGCCGCTTGCTGTTTCCCAAAAAGATACCCATAAAATATCGTGAAGATATTGCTGGAGGTGAGAACCAATAATTTCATCGGGGATGGACAAACTGCTCATGAAGAGACCGCCATTTGTCATAGAGAAATCAGAAATAATCAAACTGCTCAAATAAAGAGTCGATCGCTTGTTGTCATGTCGATATTCCAGAAGAAGGTTGTGATAACACTACTGGGGAATAAAGTTCATCTTCAATGGGGAACCATGAATAAATCCATCTTGAGGAGACCAAGTCTTTACGTTGCAAAGTAAATTCACTCTCCATCTAGGTTTCATAGCCTAGAGATATCCACAGGGTATCATTCACAAGAGACAAAGCTCAATCCAGGAGTAAACTGGAGAGAAAAACAGTCAAACAAGACTCCACCCGATGAGGAAACAACTCAAATGGGGATTTATCTTATCCAGAGATGGAAAAGGAAAGCTAAAGTAAGATTCTTCCACGAGAGTTAACTCAGTGGGGAATTAGAAAGAAGGCGCACTTTCTGCTTAAGTTGGCACTCTACCTGGAAAGATCAAATACATTATTTGAATAGACACAACCAAGGTATACGAACTCAATGACATCAACAAATACAACTGTGCATGCATGATGCAAGTGTGAATGAATAAATGAATGCCATGTATGTGCTGACAAAAAAAATAGACAAGATAAACTGGAGATGATAAGACATCATAGCACAACCCAACACTCGTCTAATCTCAACAGGATGGGAACATTACTGGAGATAAAACACAGGCCATCATTGGAGCAAGGTCCTTTTACAAGGCTTAAATATCTTTGGAGAGGAAGATATTTTCAGGTAGAAAACCCAAAGTCTAGTCTTCTATTGCAAACAATCCATTGAAAGGATAACAACACAAACAAAGTTTCAGCTGGAAAGAAGTCTTGCTTAGTTGGAGATACTGGGAACACCACCCTCTGATAATGTATGAAAAACATATCTTGACAAATCTGGATTGCCCCTGGGATTAATTTTGGATGCCCCAAGTTTACTGCTGATAAGCTGCATGTTGCACGATAATTCTTACGAATAACTTCACTTCTAAAATGCCCCAAGCTATATGGTTGATGAGGAGAAATCGTCTCAAGAGGATTTTACAAAAAACCTGGCATTCACCATGCTCTGGTGTCTTCAAACTCTTAGAGAGATTTATCGAATCTCGACTTGATTGCCCCAGATTGACTGTAGTTGGTACAACAAAGTCTTCAAATTTTGCCCCAATAAAGGGTAAACAAGTTGGGAAAGCATTAATTAGGAGAAGCAACATGTCCGTGCTTAAGGTCTTCAGGTGACATGCCCCTGAAGATGATTTTTTGAAATGATTCGCCAATTGCTCAACATAGTTTCAGGCCTTAAAAGAATAAACTCATCGCTAGTGCTTATATGTGAGCTTCCTTGATACCAAACAAATGTTTTGCAGTTAGAAAAAGTTTATTATGAGAATGAAAATTCTAATACAACAGTTATGTAAGTCTTGAAGGTTTTGAAGAGATATCGCACAAATTTTGCGAGTTAGAGCACCATTTATTTTTGTATAGGAAAAACATATGATACCAACATAACTATTTAGAACATTCATGGGAGTCAGGAACACCATCTCATTGAAGTATGCTTTCAAAATAACCTTGCTTCAATTAGGACTTTTGAAGGTTGTAACGTGGCCTGGTTCACGGTTTAAGAAAAAAGGATTTAAGGCTCAAAATATTTGGTGCCCACCCCCTTCATGATGTTCTCCAACCCTATGTTCAGTTAATTCAACATGAGTGTTCATCTCTCAAAAGGATTTTGTGACGGTCAGGGAAACGACGAGGCTTTCGGAGTAGAAACCACCCTCGTGTCTTCGTGTTTGTAGTCACCAATTTGTTCTTTGCTGAGGACTTTTCTTTGCAGTCCTTTTCTTTGCGATTTTATTTTCCCTAACTTTTGCCTGAACTAATTCTTTTGAATTGATAGTCCAGCGGGATGCCTTAATTTTGCCTAAGTCACACGTTTTCATGTTTTTTGACTTAGCAGGCTTTTTCTTTTTTCTCGATTTTTGACTTTTTTGAACAAAATGTGTGACATTAGCTTGCATTTGCTTGTTGAGAGGATTGTGATTGCCTTGTTTCTTGATGAATGAGGGATAACATTGTGGTTACACATCCTCTAGATTCATTATACATGGAGGATAGCCCTCGTAGTTTCTCTTCAAAAAACATCTTCCTTATGAATTTTGAACACTCAGTCAGATTAACTAAAAACTACCCTGCCCCAGGTTAAAATTCAAGGTTTTTTCGTATAGAAAAGAAACTTCTGCTTCAAAGGCTCAAAAGGGGTTAGCAAGGGATTATCTTCCTTATATCTCCGGTGTTTAGGGATTTGAAACAATGCCTGTACATCATCAGCAAGATTTTACCCAAAAGCAAACAAACA